TTTTTTTTATTTTTCCTCTCCCATTATTGTCGATTTGCTGTTCTGCATAAACAAACAGTTTTAATTGATCGTTCGCGCTAGATAGATGAATCTTCTCTTTACATACAAAATGTGCAAATAAATAATATAATAAAAAGATTGTAGGAAAACAAGAAGAAGAAAAAGAAAAACTAGTATGATGATGAGGTGACGTCTTTCGGCATTGTTGAGAGTGAATACTTTCTCGTTTTTTTCCTTTCCCGAATAGTAAAAGTGATAATTGATGAACATTTCCTCGTCTATATGAAAAAACACCTTGTAGATTCCGATTACTTCAATCGATCAATCAAATAATGCATAAAAAAAAAAGAAAAGAAAAAAAGCGCTATTTCATTATCTAGATTGCTCTGTCTATACATAAAGAAGAAGAAAGACTATCTGAAATGATAGTCAAAAAAAAAACAGTTATATCAATAAGAATAAGATGATGTATGTCTTGCTGTGTGTCTATCTATTGCATTTGAATGTAGTAGTAGTAGCAAAAACAAAAGAAAAAAAAAAGAAAAAAGAAAGTGAAAGAAAGCGAAAAGAGAAAAAGACTTAAGGAACATTACTCGTCGAACTGAGTAAAGAAAGAAAAGAGAGAAGACGAGACGGCGAAGAAAAATCAATGTCGTTTTTCTAATTTATTAATGAGCAAATACGCATTCTCGCGTTCTCACCCTCCTCCTCCTCTTCCTTGTTGCTGCTGCCTGGAGGACAGAGGACAGGATACAGGACGATGATGACGAGAGCACAGCGCCGAATCGTGCGAAGAAAATCTCTGTCGTTTTTTGTATGTGTATTGCTGACATAGAAGAAACGAAGACAAAGCGTATTAGTGGTACTTCGCGTTCTTGTTCTTGTTCACCATCATGTTCGGATGGCTGCGTGATGCACTTGCCAGTGCCCCAACTTCTTTTAATAATCGTCACGTTCACACACCTTCTGTTTTTCGTCAACAAAAACAAAAACATCATGAACAAATTTCTTCTGATGATGATGATATCAATCAATCAAATGATAATTCATTTTATCATAATCCATATCATTCAAGTGGACAAATGAATTATGCTGATGTACCACAACAACAATATACTAATGAACATACTTATCCAACTTATCTTGCAAGACAACAAACATCAAATATTGAAAATCAAACACTTGATCATCAAATTCAAACGAAATTGATATCATTACATCAACGTCCAACTCAATTAGATTGTTATTCTCATAGACAACATAATTATGCATATAGAAATCGAACTCTACCAATACCAGTATTACCAGCAACAACTCGTTCTTCGTTTACATCGAATCGAAATGAAGAATGTAGAAATAGTAATGAAGAACGATCGGACGATGACGAAGAAGAAGATGACAAAGAAGAAGAAGAAGGAGAAGGAGACGTTGATGATGATGATGTCAATGATGATGATGATGAAAGATCATCGTTAACTGAACCCTATCATGGTATTCCCGGTTATTATTCAGGTCAATATTCTCATATTGATGAACAATTTGATTTTGCATCCGTTGTTTTATGGTATAAAAATGTCATGCAATCGGTTAAAAAATATCTGTGAGTCGAAAGAATCTCGTAATTTAATCAATAACTATATCAAAAGAAAAAAAATAGAAAAAGGAAATGAAAAGAAATTTTTTTTATAAAGGTGTATATAGGAATTCAATTAATTAAAGAAAAAGAAAGGAAAGGGGAAAGATATATATATATATTTTATATTATTTTTTTTTTCTTCAATTTTAAGATTTCCCCTTCAGCTTTTTTGCTTTTCTTTAAAATGAAATTATCTTGATTTTTTTATTTCTTCCATCATATACAAATAAAATAATTTACTCGTTTCTTTTCATCAAAATTTCACGATTAGATTAAT